CTCCGGGCCCCGGGCGGGGCCTGCGCATGCGCGCGAGGCGGCCGGGCCGGGGCCGGGGCCGCGGCTCCCGGGGCCGGTGTGAGGAGCGCGGTGTTTGGGCCGCGGTGCCCGCTGCGAGCCCGCGGCTCGGAAAGGCCCCCGCCTCCTGCCTGCTGCCYCCTGCCGCCCCTCCGAGCTGCCCTGCGGCTGCCCTTGGCTTTAGGCACGCGCAGTTAGAGCTAAATCCCTGCTTGTGTTATCCAGCCCATACCGTTTCAGACAAAGGGGGTTGTGGTCCCAGCACCCTTGAAAACGACTGTTTTTCTGTGAGTGGAAACACTCTCTCCTTCTTCATTACYACGTTACCGTGTTTGTCCTGGCCTYCCGCACCTCCTGGCTGYCCCATTAAGCRGCGTCTGAAGGCCCWTGCTTCCCACATGGCCCTCGGGCATCTGAGGGGGTCCCGCTCTTCGTTGTGGCCAAGGGGGGAAGGTGCCGCTCTCCTCAGGCCTGCTCTCCTCAGGCCTGCTCTTCATGCTCTGTATGGCATGGTCCTGCTCCCTTTCTTGTGCAGTCTCCACAAGTTATTTTTCTGCCAGTTGGTGAGCTGAACTGGATCCCAGAGGGATCTGATAAGCTTGAGAGCTGGTGTGAAAGCTGGGCTGTGTAACCCAGGAGGAGGAAATGTGGCCTTTCCCCACCTGGGATGTGGAAACGTGGCCTTTCCCTGCCTAACTGGGTTTTCGTGTCTTGTACAGACTGCAGCTTGCACTCTTCTGCAGTTTTCTTGAGGTTTTCAGGAGATCTTTTGGATGTTTCTTAGAGATGCAGTTTCCTTTTAATTGTTAAAGATTTGGGTTTTGGTTCTAACRTGCTATTTTGTGCTCAGCTGTTCAGTTTGAGTGCGGCTTTGATCCTGGTAATGGTTCTTCCGGACCAAAAGCTTTCCCGATGTTTGCTTTGCGTTACAGGATCTAACTTCTCTAATTGCTTTTCTTTTGTTTGTGGTGGCAGCTTTTCATCTTCCAGTCACCTTCAGAAGTATCAAGTTGGATCTATAAACTGCTGCATATAATTGTCAAACACTGCTATTTTTTTTCATGAAYGTGTCACATTCACCTGCTGTGTCTTAGGGTGTGATCTCTCAACACAATTTCTTTCCATGCTTTTGTACAGCCCCTAATAGAATGAAGCTCTAATATTCATGTGTAATTTTCTGTGTTGTTAATGTACGTGGTTCTATCATAGTGTCTTTCTTCACCTTTTTTTTTTTTTTTAAATTACTTTTGAAAAGGTGCTCTCCTTTTTCCTCCTTCCAACTGATAGTTTTGAATTTATTTTATGTAAATATCACTTGCCTATCATACTTCTGTGACTTATGACCAGTAGAGAGGACGTTTATGGAATGTCCTATCTTTATCTTTTGCTATCTCTTAAAGTCTTAGTTCTCCTCGACCTCTAAAGTCTAAAGTTCTCCTTGACCAAGTTCTGCTGTCTGTAATCCATCACTAGCCTTCATTCAGACTCCAGTTCTGCTTTCCAGGAAACATGTTTGTTCTTCCTTCCCTAGGCTTCCAGATGTTCCTGCTCTGTAGATTGTCTTCTGTCACCTCTGGCACTGCTGAGATCCACAGTTACTGGTCACGCATGGTGGAATCGCCCATAGTGACTCCCATATTTGGGCCACGGTGCTCTGGTATTTTCCGTGTGCTCTGGATAGAAACACTGTTCTGTATCTTTCGAAATACAATACATCAAAGCAACYTATAAAACACATACATACATATATACGTACATAAATATATATCCTTAAGATCACTTCTGAATTCTCTTTGCTTACATTCCTTTATATATTACACCTCTTCTTCAGTATTATACTRGTAACTCTCTTTCGAAGGCTTGGCAACCAAAGGACCTTTTTCTAGCTGTAGATGGGTAACCGGAAATTTTGATCAATTGTTTTTTTGTTCAAACCATTGATGAAAAGCAATTTCAGTGTAAAAAGTTATGTCAGAATGTAACCAGGCTGAGTATTTAGACATCTCTGGAAAAATCAAATGCACCTCTAGTCTTAAGKAAATACCATATTTTTTTAACATCTGCACATCCCTAGAAGGTGTTTGCACTGGGGACATCCAAGTGTTTTTTATTCCTTTTTTTCTGTGTTTCCTGTAAAAGAATAAGCTCTTTTTTTCCCTACATATTAGCGACTTGATAATATAGAAATAGAATCTCTTGTTTGGATCTTTGGTAGGTCCAGAAATTTTCCATGTCCACTACACTTAAATATTTAAATATATATTCTTCTCTTCATAKTATGATGACAAGTTTAAACTTCTGTGGCGGTTTGATACTTTGGCCCATCTCTATTCCGTTTCTTTCATGTACAGTCAGTAGTAAAGCAGCTTTATATTTTGCAGGTTGCTGGATACAAATGCTAACTGCTCCATCTTTTCTGCAGGTGCTCTTCTTTGGATTTGGATGGCTGTTCTTCATGCGCCAACTCTTCAAGGATTATGAGGTGAGAAGGGGCCTTGCACCACAATTTCTTATCTTAAAGATTACTCTAATTATTGCAGTATTTTAAAAATGCTTCTGGACATTTTATTTTCTTTAAGCTCTGTTAACTGTTTCTCTTTGTCTTTACAGTTTTCTTTTTAATTTCCTCTTATGTTTACACTTAAAAGACTACTAGATACTTGGGAGACTTGTTTTCTGGGGCTCTGGTGAAAGTTGCTCTGTCGACTACTGTTAAATAAAAATCAGGTGGAGAAGGAGAGGGATAATAGGATATTGTGATTTCCTTTTGCTTGTATAAACTTGCCTTATATAGCTCTAAAATTTCTGAGACAAAATAATGGTTATGTTTAAACTCGGAGAAGTGTGTTTATTCTGGCTGAATTGTTTGTGGGAATCAGATGGGATAGAAGTGCCCTGTTCCCTTACATCAAAAGGGATGTGAGGGAAGATAGTCTAGGCCAGAGATAACTTAAGTGGAAACCGAATTTGGTTTTCTTCGATGTTCCATTTTCGACCGTGTTTCTGACTCTGCGGCAAGGACTGCAGAGCTGTGTTAGCAGCAGGTCCTGGTCAGCCGGGTTGCCGTCCCGTGCTGCATGCTTGACAGGCCTTCTGCGTGAGGCCTGTGTTACAGGTGATGATAGCTGCAGTCAGTGGCATGCTGAGCAACTTAGGAGTTTGCCTTGTGGTTTCTCACGGTCTCTTGGTTTATTCCCATTTTRTGGCTTTAAGCAAGAGACCCAACTGTTTGCTGCTCTACCTAGTGGCTTGTGGTCTTTAGCTGGGGCTTATCTGGGCGCTGTTCTTTGAACAGAAGTGACCAATGTCTCTGGCTTGTTTACTCCCCTGCAGGTGCGGCAGTATGTTGTGCAGGTGATCTTCTCCGTGACTTTTGCCTTCTCTTGTACTATGTTTGAACTCATAATCTTCGAGATTTTGGGAGTGCTGAATAGCAGGTGAGTGCGCGAGCTCAGCAGAGGACGAACCTGCCGCGTGTTCTGCAGCAGCTTCAGCCCAGCCTCCAAAAGAAGAGAGGTTAATCGCTGGGCGTGGAAATTGTGTGGGGAGAATCGGCAGTGTCTCAGTGGTGACACCGGAGCAGCAGGCTGCGTTTATGGAACAAAACATGAGACTGGAAGCCAGAAGCTTCTGATTTTCCATGCATCTGCCCAGGGCCTTAGGCCGAGGCTTTAGCCTTTGACTTTCCCCATTTATGAAATGAAAAGATGGTTTCGCTTATGGGAGTTTTGTTAAGCTTTTGATCATGCTGAAGAGCACTTTTAGGATGTTAAGGACTACAAGCACTAGTTTTTCTGTAGTGGTCAAAGCAGAGAATAAGATGTGAAGGTAATTGTGGAGTAAAAACTGTACTTGTATAATAATACAGCATTTGTGAATCAAAGGCACATTCTCCCTTGACGTGGGGTGAGGGTTTTTATTATAAAGAGGATGTTAAAAACTGTCTACTTCAGAAATCAGTAGGAAAGAGAAGATAGAACAGAAACATGCAGAGGTTGGCTGGATTTCCTATTTATCTTCTCTCGTCATACTGGAATAAGAGAGCAGTCAAAGGAATTGAAAGAGAAGAAGTTAAAAACTGATAAAAGGTAATGTTAGTTCAGACAGTGTGTTACTAACCTGTAGAGCTTGCAGCCAGAGAGATCGCTGAGGAGAATGTCTTTGTACTTTTTACTACAGGGCAGGACATCAATGATGTCTATCTCTAACTTACCTAGGGAGAAGTGATAGGGATCCTCAGAAGTTTGTGGGKTTTTTTTTGTTTATTTTTTGTTTTGTTTTTGTTTTTTTCGAAGGCGTAAACAGGATATGTATTGGGGTTGTGGATGGAACTTTTATTCATTCATTTATTTATTTATTTATTTTAAATTAAGAAGCCAGCTTAACATTAAAGCCAACTGAAAAAATGAATTCAACSCAGATGTTAAGCTTTGAATTTGGTCAGTCTGTTTTGATCAGAGGAGTGTTGACTAATATTTCAAAATTTTGGAATGTTTTGATGCTTATGCTTTCATATATATGGATATTTAAACTCTTGTTATGTAATGCAAGAGCATACACTTGATATAATTCACTTGGAAATAAAACATGTTGATTTGGAAGTGCTTAAATTCTTTTTGTCTTTTTGATTTGAATTGAATTCTTCTGACTCAGCAACTAAATTCCAAATAAATTATTGTTGATCACTGATTTTGATTTACTGTTCATCTAGTTGAACAGTACATCATGTGTCATGTATTAGAGCCAACATTAATGACTAGAAAATAGAGCGTTTTATAAAATAGTCTGCTATGGCTTTTTCTGGGTAGTCAACACATTCTTGAGCTCTGTATCATATTTAAAAACAAAACAAAAATCCCTAATATTTTGTATGCTGATGTGAGACCAGTGTTGTCAAATGTGTGATGTAATTGGAAGTGTTGCACTAAGATGTGATTACCTTTAAGAGAAATTTGTTGAATTTTCGTTGTATGCTGAGTAGTATTTTTACTTTGTTTTAGCTCTCGATATTTTCACTGGAAGCTCAATCTTTTTGTCATTCTGCTCATCTTGGTCTTCATGGTACCTTTCTACATTGGCTACTTTGTTGTGAGCAACATCAGATTATGTGAGTACTTACTTTATTCAGGGGACTGCTAACGTTATGCATAAAAAGGAAAAGGAACTTTTTTAAGGGATGTTTTTCATCGTTTCTGTATCTACCATCTATCCTATTTRTCTCTGATTTGTTCTGACTACACAACTCCTAAAACTTAATGCTTTAACTGTTACTTGAGCAGTTAGGAAATACTCTACCTGATATTAGTGGATGTTACTTTTCTTGGTTTTGAGAAATATGGATGCTTTTGAGTAATGTTATTGGAACTTGGTCCTTGGATTCTTAAGCTTGCAGGCAAACCTTGGAGCCCTTGGCCAAGGGACAGAAGAGACAGTCAGAGAAGCTCACTAAACTGCCCGTGCTGTTTTGCTGATTGCTGTCTGGATAAGGCCTCTTCTGTATGCTAATGCTCACTTACCTTTGAGTTACTGATGCTCCTCTCTCCTTTATATGAAGAGATGTTGAGATAGAGCGTACTAAATGTTTAGTTTTGACAAGATGAAATTTCCCCGTCATGTTCAGGGTTGCCCAAGAAAGATGCAGGAGAGCAACTCCCTCTTCATAGTGCAGCCCTTTGTACTGCCTTGGGGAAAAGCCCTTGCCTATCTCAAGGTTGGGTAGCTCTGCGTTATACCTTAATAAAAGGTGATGTGTATCAAACAGTGAGTTCTGTAAGAAGTGAGCTCAGTTGGGGGGCATCTGTTTTGATCACCTGTACTCACAGCAGCCTTGGAGCAAACGTGGTGATTTGTCTACCTTGAAGGGAACTCTGAAGGAAGAACTTCTTTAAAATACTTTTCTTCTCTCCATCAGTGCACAGACAGAAACTGCTTTTTGCTTGTGTCCTGTGGCTGACATTCATGTATTTCTTCTGGAAATTGGGGGATCCATTTCCTATACTCAGCCCAAAACATGGTGAGTTTCATTTCCTTCTGAAAGTAGATTGTATTATCTTGCTGTTACCTTTGTGCTGTTTTCCCAGCCCTACAGTTGGGATTTTGGAAAGCAGCTGTTTGTTTGCAACTGGGTCTGCTGTGAAAAATCTAGAAACCAGAGTTGTCAGGCAGACAGAAATGACTGGATATCCACAAATTACTTGGGTTAGTTCTTTTCCCATACCACAGGAAAACTTGAAGGAAGTCAGTGAACCTAGGGTATGAGAGCAGAACATATTTCTGGTGGAGATTAAGGGTAGTCATAAAAATATATGATGTTTTGTGATGAAAAGTTGTTCACCGTTTTTACTCACTACACATTGCTTCTTGAAGGCTATAGCAGACTTGCATAAGAAGAGAATTGACATTTCGTTGTCAATTTCTGTCTATCAAATTCTTACCTTCTTTTGCAATCAAAATTGTATCAGCTAACTGTAGATTTTTGTACAGCTGAGAAAATGTGCCGGGGTAAAACAGAGAGGCAACAATGTGTCTGGCAGTGCTTGTTAACTTGGGTTAGTTTCAGACACTTCCAGAGTCCAGGAGCAATACAGGTGTGCGGTACAGCTGCAGTTGATAAGTACTGCTGGACTCAAGCCATTCATAAATAAAATTGGCTTGGGTATCTCTGCATTGCCCTCTTGGACACTAGAGTGTTTATAGGGAAAGGATACTCGTATGGACCTGGATTAGTTTGGATCCAGCAGAGATTGGTAGCATGTACATAACTGCACTGAGTCCTTTGGGACTCGATGTGTTTTATAATACTGTAGAATTGAACTATGTGTCACCTGTGTTTCCTGTGTAACTTATGTTGCCCTTATCTGATGTACTGCAGAATTGTGCCTTGTTCTCAGCTGGGGAAATTCACTTTGCCAGTTCAGTTTTTACTTAGATTGTTGAAAATATCTATGAAAATATCTATGTTGGTAACTTGCTGAAGATCTCTGAGAATCTGCTTTGAGGGTGCTGTGGGGTGGTACGRCAGCTGGGAAATGCACGCGCCAGGTCAAGGCTCCGCTGACTGCAATGTGTTAGCAGGGCTTTGTGCACCTGAGCTTGAGAGCCCTGAGTGGGGAGAAGGGAATCAGATACTACTCAGATAGTTGCTAGTTGCCAAGTAAAACCCCTACCCTTCATCTGAGCTTATAAAACATTCATTTCTTGTGCCTGACTTTGAAAAGAAATGACTTTCATGTCATTTCTTGTGTAGGGATGTTGTGAGTGTTATTGGGGAGCATTGCTTTAAACAGTGGAATGAAGTGTCATTTTGAAGGCACCTCTGTTTTAACTGCTGCTCTCTGGCCGTATGGGGGGCAAAAGGCCAGTGTATTGTAGCACATTCTGTAGCTGGTGCAAATCTCTCTGCAGCTGCACATGACTGGGTGTCTCAGCCTCCCTTTGTGAAGCCCTTTTGCCTTGTTTTCATCATTTATTCCTCTCCTCTGAAGCATGAAATGCAGCTTGGCGCTTGGCCATCTCAACTTTGCAGTCATTTAAGCTACAAATGTGCTGCGTGTGGCAGCTGCTCCATAACTAGCTCCCTAAAACATGAGAGGTGTTCCATAGCATATGGCACTGCGCCCTGAGAAGATGGGCTGCTTAAATGGCTGGGAGGGGTATGTGTGACCTCAGTCCTTGGAACTGGTGACGGCGTAGGCTTGGTGTTTGGGCAACTGTTATGTGAATGTATGTTTTTATAGTTCACTTGATGCTTTCGTGCGGTACCCCAAAAGCCTGTGTTCATCTCCAAATGAATTGAACATCTGGGAGCAGCAAAAACTTCCCTTGCCATTATAACACTGTTGTCCTATGAGCAGTGGTTGAATCTGGTCCGGAGAGGTCACTCCTAATCGTCAGGGGCACTGAGCTTCCCATCTAAGGCCCAAAAAGCTTTGGGCCAGTTTGCCTGGAGTAACTTGCTGGGTAACAAACAAGTTTCTGGTCATTGCAGAAGTGGCTTTATGAAAGATAAGCTAGTATAGTAGGTTGGTAGCTGATAGGTGGTCCATATGCCTTCCTCAGCAAAGTCCAATCACTAATCTTAGAAGTGGAAGGCAAGTGCTAACCTCCTCCAAATTTCTCTTCAACTTATCTTGAATTTCCCATCCCTGTTTTGAAGCCTGCTGGCATGCGTTCTGTGGGAGGCATTTCCCACAGAAAACAGGCAATACTTCTTTTTTTTTGTAGCCCTTGCCAGTACTGACTTCTAGTTGCTTGTAGCCACTGGAGTGGGAAGGCACTCACCTTCCTTAGCACCTGCATGAGTTTGCTGCTCTGCGAAGGCACCTGAGTGTGGAGCTGACCAAAGGGAGCAACTGGCTACTGACGCTGTGTTTTTCCTCTCAGGAATCCTGTCTATAGAACAGCTCATCAGCCGCGTGGGAGTGATCGGGGTGACACTCATGGCTTTGCTATCAGGATTTGGCGCTGTCAACTGCCCATATACTTATATGTCTTACTTTCTTAGGTAAGTGCAGCCTCATGAAATATTTTGTCCACCTTTCTGCTAGCTATTAATCTACTTCTTCAGTTTCTTTGATGGTGAATTTCTTTTCCGCATGCTCCCAGTGTGCAGACTCTTACTGTAGGTCTGCCTACATGCTAAATTACTTAATTGTGGACAAGTGTCCTTCTCATATATGCACCTCTTTTCCTCTTTGTTTAATGGGCATTTGCCGTTTTCCCCTGAAGCGGGATAGCAGCCCTAACAGGGTATCTTCACTTTGCAGGAATGTGACGGATGCCGATATTCTGGCTTTGGAGCGCCGCCTCCTTCAAACTATGGACATGATTGTTAGCAAGAAAAAGAGGTAAGAAGGCAGTAGTAGCATGAAATGATTTATTTTTAGGCCTGGAGTCAATAGGGTTTAAAGTGGTCTGGGAGTTATCAAGACTTTTAGCTGTGAGGTCAACATATTCCAGTGAAGCAGGTAGCTGAACTGGGTTAGAGCTGTGACATTTTTTTGGACAGTTTTTCATGATCTGGTACACAACTCCCCCCCCAACAGTGTGCCCTAAGTAGCACCCAGTACTGCAGTGGCACTGGTGAGGCTTCCAAGACTCGGAGTCARCTTGACTGACCTGTCAGTAAAATGAATTCCCATTCTCTCCAAATGAATATTCCTTCCTTAAACTACCGGTTACCTCTCTCACTGGCTGTGTCAGTACAGCAGCTGGTTCATACGTAATGAAGCAGGACAGTGAGCTGGCATGGAAACACTTCCGTCCTTGCTCATTGCAAGTTTTATATTAGTTAAGTTTTGCAAGAATTGGAAAACATTCCTAGTGTGAATGTAGTGCAGTGCACATCCATTGCCATGAAAGCTCTGCAGTTGTTGGTTTAGTTTATCCCATGTACCCTAAGCAAAAAARCTACCCTTGGGAAGAGTGTTACTGCATTTACATTGAAAGGATTTTTGTGTTATGTTACAAATTACATATTTCACACCAGTTGTACTGAATAAGTGCARTTGCCACAGTTGCTGCAAAGGTTTGTCTGTCTGACACTGAATTCTCGCAGTAAAGTCCAGAATGTTATTTTGTCACAGTGGTGTTTTAATAGGAGCTTTTAATATGCTACAAGAGAGCCTTTAGGTAGTCTAACCTTGCTGAATAAGTCTCCAGCTTCTGTGTCTGTTATSAGTGCTAGCAAATGAACTACTTGCCATTATAGCAAATCTTTTTTTTCTTCTGCTTTGAAACATGAGTGTGTTAAGTGATCATCAAATGTTGATTCATTATTTGTGGTGAGGCATAAGTTGATAAATAGTGAGAGCATTTATTTAAGCAGGGAGGTTTAATATAATATCATCAACATACAGAAATATTGGCTTTGGAATTGTGAAGTTATTTTGTTTTGCTGCTTCTGGTTGCACAGGTTTTGGACACTGCCTCTGGAGGATCTTACTAGGATAGAAGCAAGAGTCTTTGGGGCTCACACCTGGGGCATATGTAGTATCAGAAAATGTGCAAGAAATAGTAGAAGCTCAAATTTTGTGGATTTTGTCCTCTTTGTGCTCTGATAAGGAGCAATGGCTTGGTTAGTTGGACTATTTGCTCATATAGAGCAGAGCTTAAGAGGTTAGATTTGTATCAGTCCAGATGCAATGCAAATTATCTGGCAGGACAAGTGGGAGCACCAGTATTTTATTGTGCAGGGTAAACACTAAGGTTCTATAAATTGTCAGCTTCTAGTTGGCCACCTTTTCCGTACTGCTGATGATAACTCGACTCAAAGCACATGAGGATTGGAAGGTAATAGAGTRTAAACCTTTTTATTTCTTTGCGGATCTTGATGTTTTTCTCATAGAAACCTTTGTTCATGCTGATTTATTGTCAGTAGGAGATAGTGGTTGAAAATTGTTTTCCCTGATACCTTCTGCACATGAGTTAGCTGTGATATGTGCTCTACTTTGTGACTGAATTCACTTAAGGCCTTATGAAAATTCGCCTTTAAAGTTGACAGGTTCTTTATACTCACCTTTGCCGACACTGGACGACTAAGGCTCAAGTTTGAAAGCCCTGTATTCTGTGACACCACTGCTTTATTTTGTTTTTTATATAAATAGGGTCAACTCAGCTCATGTGAGAGAGAGATGCACGAGCAAAGTATGTAGTTTTGCTGTAGAATCCCTTCTATGAGGTCCTAGCTACATGTGAGTGTAGATATCCCCCTCACTTCTTAGGAGAAAAGGTTTGCCTTGGTATCCTAGACTACATATAACCTTGGACTTCACCTTGACATAGCTGCATTTTCCTGCAGTGCTGTGGATCGCTTGCGATGGAGTGTGTAGATCAGGTAGTGTGAAGGAAGCAAGGGCAAAAATGCAGTTCTTGGGTTTTTTTTTTTTTGGCAGCTATCAGGAAGAATTAAATCACTTTAAGAAGAAGCCTGCTGTTCCTAATCTGTGGGCATGTGTGCTCTGACGTGTGCTGTGTGGGGTGCCTCAAGGGTGCTTCTCTTGCTGTCTTAATTATTATTGCGCTGCTTATCAACAACCTTGAGGAGGGTGGAGTGCCAAATGTATCAGTATTGGCTGCAGCTACAGGAAAAGGCTCTGAACAGAGGCAAATTGTGGCTTGCCTTGACAATGCCTGGCTGGTTTTCCGCTGAGGAGCCTGGTTTGCAGATTGCAGCGGGGAGGAGCGCGAGGTAGCGAGGCCTGGAGCTCGCGGGGATGAGAGCGGGAAGGACAGCGCCGCTGCCGCTGCTCTGCAGCGAGTGCTGGGCCTCGGGTTGGTGTCGCCTGACGCCCCTGGGGCCTCTGTCCTCTCACAGATCAGTTAGGTCCCCCTGTGAGGGCTGGGCACCGAGCGCAGGCAGCGGGTCAGGCAGTGCAGGTAGTGCAGCCACAGAGAGGTGTTCGAGGGGGCGAGGGGCATGAGGAGCCTCCTGAGCTGGGACAGCCAAGTCTCGTGTTGGAGGGAAGGGGAATGACTCATGAGATGCTCGAGAAAGCTGTGTGAATATTTGTTTTCAATTGCATTTAACACCCTTTAGACGATTCTGGATGGGTGTTTTAGGAAGGATCTGGCTGAAGTGTCTGGTAGCTTGCTTGGCTAGATCTGGGCTGTGCGCCAGGGCTAGTCGGGACAATGTTGTGAAGCAAGATTAGTGCTTGGGAAAAAAAAGCAGGGGGGAGCAGGGTGTCTGTTTGTAATGTAGTTAGTTTAACAGTGTCTTTAAAGGAAGGGGGCTTGTTTGTTAGTAAAATAAATATTTTATTCGTTTAAAAAAAAAATGTGTTTTCTGTTCTTTCAGGATAGCAGTGGCTCACAGAACGATGTTCCAAAGAGGAGAAGTGCACAACAAACCCACTGGCTTCTGGGGAATGATAAAAAGTGTGACAGCCTCCGCTGCAGGCAGTGAAAGTATCCTTCACCTGCAGGCTGGCACCCGCCTTGGGAGGCGGCCCCAGCCTGCTCCGGGCTGAATGGACGCGCGTTAGGGAGGTCAGTTACCAGGCATCTGCGTTTGAGCAGCCTGAGCAGCGGGTTGCAGTGCCTCAGAGGCAGTCAGCCTTGCAGCACGCTGCTGCTGTCTTCACCCTTGCCTGGGGGCTGGACACAGAGCTCTGGGAGTCTCGCAGGGATCGTGTGCCACGGCCCTTCCCTGTGCTTTCGCATGACCGTAGTGGAAGAGGGCAGCAGGTTGCAGGAGAGATGTGCTGTAAGGAAACACCTGGTGTGGTGTAATGAAAAGGACTATCCCGTCACGTGATTGAAGGGGGAGAGTTTCCTATTCTGATGTGGCCTGTAGTTGTGTGGCCTGCATGTATGTTTTGGTGCAAACGTGAAATACACCTTTCCAGGAGGAGTAGGCAGTGGGATACTTAAGCAAGACAGCAGCATTGGCTGAGTTGTGGGAACAATTTCCCTGGCTACCAGTTGCTTTCTGGCTGTGTTGGAAAGCCTGAAGAAGGGAAGCAGCTTGTAGACCAGCTAAATTATTCCCATGTTGGAGCTTGACCCCTTGTCCTATAGCTCAAAAAAGTGCATGCGAACAGTGAACAGACCTTGTTCTGCCCATGTGAATGGGGTAGAAGGATTCYGTGATAGAAGAAAGTCTGTATTTCTGTATGTTACTGTTCCCTATGAACAGCTGCTCTCAGACCACCTAAATTGTGCAGCTTGCGTGTTTAAGGCTGAGGACTCTTCTTCCCCTCCYTCTTTCTCACTAGCCATTAAATCCCAAATTTGGTTATTTGTCTAGGTTCTTCATAACAATCAGTGATCTCTTGGCGTAGTTACTGGCAGTTTAAGTTGTGAAGATGGTGTGAGAGCGACACATGATGCATACCAGCAACAAGGGGCCCTGATAAAAGCAGAGCAGTTACTCTTCGAGGGCTGGGGTTGCATTCTGCAATGTGTTCCTCGGACAGAGGAATAAGGAGCTTGATGAGTGACACTGTATAAAGACTGTGTTGCCTGTGTTCTTAAAATAGAGTACTGTGGAATATGCATATGCTCAAGATTTCTCTGTATAAGTGAAAAGCGCCAAAACTGGATCAGAAAAAGGATCAAGCCACCAAAGGTGGCCCTGTGCGGGGAGGACGGGGTGTTGCGTTTGTCATTAAGAACTTGTGACGCGTTGYGGCTTTGACTGTGCTGGTTTGCCAGATCTGTCCCTTATTCAGCAAGAGGTGGATGCCCTGGAAGAGCTGAGTCGGCAGCTTTTTCTGGAAACCGCTGACCTACACGCCACAAAGGTACCGAGCAGAGTCACTGCCCGCACAGGCTTTAGAGGCCAGCGTGGTTTGGCTGGGGCTGTTTGTGACAGGACGTTGTCGAGCTGCTCAGCAGGCAGCACCGAAATGTAATGATGCAGTGGAGCGAGGGTCTGTTTTTTAACCTGGGAATCTGGGTGGCTGTGTCCTTCAGTGCATATGTGCCCTGGGGGCAAGCCCCATGCCCTTAAGGCTGTTCAGAATTAAAAGAACTGCAGAAGGATAAAGTTGAGATTACCATTAATGATGTATCTTTGAAATGTGTGATTTTGTGCTTTGGATTAACCTGGAAATAATACATTATTTGTGTGTGTGTGTGTGTGTGTGTGTGTGTGTGTGTGTGTGTGTTGTATTTCTCCCCTACCACTCTTTTATCTCCAGGAGAGAATTGAGTACTCCAAAACTTTCCAGGGAAAATACTTCAATTTTTTGGGTTATTTTTTCTCCATCTATTGTGTCTGGAAAATCTTCATGGTATGTAAATGTCTGTTCTGTGTGGACACACGTAGATGTCACATCTTGCTTAGACAATGCTGCTCCTGCACTGCATCTACGGAAACTGTTAAAGCTTCCTTAAATTTCTGCATCTGGAAATTCTGACTAAAACATGTTTGGGTGGCATAAATCTCTGCATCTCGCTTTCTGTGTAGAGCCTTAAGCAAGCATCTTCTTTGTGTGCATTTTAAATATCCTAGATTACCAAAAAAAAAAACCTCTTCTGTATTGAAACAAAGCCTAGGTGATGTGTGTGTCTTGGAAGTGATCTATACTTCTGGTTCATGTAAATCTGTCTTATAGGCAACCATCAATATTGTGTTTGACCGTGTTGGGAAGACTGATCCGGTCACAAGAGGGATTGAGATCACTGTGAATTACCTGGGAATCCAGTTTGATGTGAGAATTTACTAATTCCTATGTGCTTTTCAGAAATTTCTGTCTTATCTAAATAAGAGCATATCCCAGACTGTGACGGACAGGTAGAGCTTTAAGAATCCGCCTTGGATTGCGGAGGAAGAGAAAATGCATTGTGAACTTTGCTTTTATATTGCTAATATGTTGAAAGAGTAATTCGATCAGGCCAAAGAAGCAATGATCTATTTGTTTTGGGCATGAGGGAACACATTAGTGAACTTGCCTGTTTTAGTATCTTTATCTACAGAGTAATTAACTTTGCCTATGCACACAAATGTTTATTTGCTCTTTTTTTTAGCTATATTTCTGTGAACGTGATCTATATAAATGAATGTTTTTCTCATGTATGTTTAAAGTAGTTACTAATATTTTTAAAGCTTGTAATGTAAGCCTGCCTACAATGGATATCTATACAGTAATCAATACAAAGACTTCGAAGAACTATCAGCTATACAATGTGGTTAAATGAGGCTGGCCCTAGAGATTTAACTGTATTCTTCTTGTTGATACAGGTCAAATTCTGGTCTCAGCACATTTCCTTTATCCTTGTTGGAATAATCATTGTCACCTCTATCAGAGGCTTGTTAATCACACTTACAAAGGTATGTTTAGCCAGRACTTTTGTTTCATTGTAGCCTGGGAGAGCTGTTTGAGGTTTTTAGCTTTAAACAAGGCAAATATCATGCAAACTTGCAGTGTGTATGTATATATGTATTTATATATTTAAATATATGAATGTAGACTCTTGCAGAGGGAGGAAAGGAAGAAATTATCTTCTGCACTGAATTTTTACCACTTACTCTCTACTGCGGTATTGCTGGGGAGAGTTGTAGTAGTGAATGTTAGATGGGATGTTAAATGTAAGCAAACAGACAAAACGATGCTGTAGTCAGGGCATTTTAGGAAAGTTGATGAGAGAATGATTGGAAGCATTTAGATTGCCTCATTTCAACAACTGGTTCTTTATGTAGATCTGGAAAAGCATCAAATGCCAAGAGATGCATACCAATCATTATGTGTTGACCTGTCTTTTGGTACCTAAGCTTAATAATTTTTTGTATATGTTGATACATAGATATTGATATATATGCTTATCTTCAATCAAAATTACTGACAGACATGTTCCTTTCATGCTCTCCTAGGGCACATTGAGCTCCTCTGACTGCTTATTTTCAGAACATTTTTTCATTWTTTTTTCCTTGTAGTTCTTCTATGCCATCTCCAGCAGCAAGTCCTCCAATGTTATTGTTCTGCTCTTAGCACAGATAATGGTGGGTACCCAAGACCATGGTCACATGTATTTGTGTGCATGTGCGCATGCAGATAAGTCTTTGTACACTAACCCTTCTTATCCCCCTGAGCCAAATGTGAAACAAGTGTTATCTTCTGGTTTTTAATTTGCAGGGGATGTACTTTGTCTCATCAGTGCTCCTGATCCGGATGAGTATGCCCCTAGAGTACCGCACTATCATCACAGAAGTCCTGGGAGAGCTCCAGTTCAACTTCTATCATCGCTGGTTTGATGTGATATTCCTAGTTAGTGCCCTCTCCAGCATCCTCTTCCTCTACTTGGCCCACAAACAAGCCCCAGAGAAGCACATGGCTCTCTAAACAAGGACTGCAGTCACCCACTGCTCTCCCATCCTTCCTGCTGGACTCCTGCAGCTCCTGTGGGCTGCAGAACTTGGCAAGAGCCACCGCAGTTGTGTGTTTTCCAGCAGTGGGGCTGGCTCTGAACTACCACACTTGAACTTCAGCAGGCTCCGTGGCTCACCTTGTTGAGGTGCCACAACTCGAAGGAAAAGGGATGCAGGTGTTGAATGGCAGAGAGTTTGACACCAAAGGAGGACACCAGTCCTTGGTGCAGCAGAATCTTGGTGGATTGGAACGTGCGTAGTAGGTTGTCTGAGGGGAAAGCTCTGCGTTTAGAAGAACATCTTTATAGCAGGCACTCAGTAAATGTGATTTCCTTTTGAAAAGCAAATCATAATTGGAATTCAGAGGGTGGTGATTCTACTGTTGAATGCTTAAATCTGTGGAATTAAATAAGCTTTTTGTAATATGAGCATCATTATTTTGTGTCTACCCCAACGGTTTGTCTGGAAGTGAGCTATAAAATAGCTGGGATTTGCTGCCTGGCAAGAAGGAAATAAAAAGAAGTTGAAGGGAAATGTGCATCACTAGTATCTAGTGTCAGTAAGAACTGGAGCTTAGGCTTTTTTTGTTGACTCTCAACTTCCCTTTCCCTGTATAAATGGAATTAAGGCCTTGAATTACTGCTCAGTGTGAAGTCAGAGAAATCGCAACTATTCCTTGCTTACTTTATGGAGTAAATAAATTAGTATTCCCCACAACCTGTGTGTTCTTCAACAGTAGCCTGTATCTCCATTTGACTTAATTCAAGGCATCAAAGTAAATTTTACTCSTATGACTTGAACTTGTAGCTTCCCATAGCCACTCTGCCTGTTTTATTTGTTTGCTTGTTTGTTTGTTTTAAAGTTGTTCTGGAACATAAATCATAAGAGGTAAGGGTAAGACCTGGGGAAGAGAAGTGGCCACTCTCAATGATTTATTTCAGCATTGGCTTTGGTGTACAGCAAGGAGGCAGAGCATACAGCAGCAGTGTTACAGAGCCGTTTGTGTCGCGTTGAAGACGTGGTTGGCTTGGAGTGAGGCAAAGCACGACTGAATTACATACATGGTTGTTACTACTGTGATCCACGGCTGTATGCAGAGGAGAGAGTACAGCGCTTGAAGGTTGTGAGTTGTCAGTTATGAAATTAGTGTGAGGCTTGGTGGGGACAGGGACAAAAAAACTTCCATAGTGTAAGTAATGGAGTGTGATGGRATGCACAGAGTACATTGGCCTGTGACGTGTCACAGCAGTTGCACTGCAATAAATACAGAACAGAAGTCACCACAGAGCTTGAGCGCATGAACTTTGATTAGGAGAACTGCCTCTCCAGGAAGATGGGGAGAGATCAGGTGCTCTGCGTTTGAGTTTGTCTTTTAAAGGCTGAGCTACTTAAGGATTTATGAAATGTGGTTCCTTTCTCTGTGGCGGCAGGTTTAACTGTATACCTCTAGTCACTTAAGCCTTGAGGGAAAGAAGTGACWGCTCACTTCACAAGGCAGAAAGCCACTGAGGTACAATTGCAGTGCGTTAAATGACTACCAGTTACATGGAAGTTTTTATTTCAGACAGTTGAATTTCAGCAAAGATTGTACTCCCTTGCAGGTCCTAGGAATAGCCTAGTTCAGGGATGTGTAGTAGAAAAGAATGAAGTAAAGGGAGACTTAGTTGTTTTGGGGATAGTTCCTTCTCTCACAGCTGAGTGTCATCGCTGTTGTCACTGTCTGCTCTTGTCGCTGAGGCATTTGATTGTGAAGAAGAGGATGAACTTGCCTGCAGAGGAGTAACAAATACATTCTGATTATTTTTAGTTTGTTAAACATTCTCAGTACTCTACAGGATTATGAACTTCTGCTGCTTTGATCAGTTCTAATCATATACCTGTTGGCATGAGAGAATGAGCCAGCAAATACGATTTTTGTTGCTGTAGCTTTTTTTTTCTTAAGTTTACCATAGACATAAAAATAGGACGATAAGATCCTCTTGTTTTTGTTTAATTACGGAATCTGCACGCGAGAGGAACTAACTTCAGATCTGCAAAACTCAAATTGGAGGCTAAGAAACTTTTGAGAAAACTTGTGGTTAGACTTCTGCACATGTCATCATGAAAAATGAATAGGCACAATATTAGTCTTWTTCTTCCCTGTCTCTTCTGCAGGAGGGAAAAAAAAGTTGGAAAAAAGGGGTCAAAATGACTGGTTTTGAGAAAAAAAGAGAAAAAACATGTTTCTCTTCTGACTTATCTCAAGGTCAAGAATCTGACTTCAGATTCTTTCTGGCCACTTAATATGAACAAAATACTTCAAATTAGAACATTTGTTTTAACCTATCAATTGTTGTTCCTTCTACGCAATCATTTTTTTGAAGTATTTCACTTAGTTTCCCCCAAAGCCTTTCATGATCTTTGGTGTACTTAAGCACTTTGAGGAGTGCCTTGTCCATTTTCGATCTTAATTAACAATTACCTTGTTTGTATTATTAGCTGAAARCAAGTTCTTTTCCCATCTCCTAGAATGAAGCCTTAAAACCTGGTCAATATATTATTACTCACCCTTTCTCTTGGCTCTTCTGAGGTTCTCTCTGGCTCTGCTGGTGGATTTTCCATGTAAGCAGGAGGCTCCAAAGTGTTGCAGACTGGATCTGTTGTAGCTGCAGTAACGTGACTCTTCTGATGCTGGAAGTGTTCGTAAGCATCTTTGCTGCACACCAGGAGTGTTACTTCATCAGYGCTATCCTGCACCCTTTTCACCACTTGTTCATAGGGTTCATCCATCACATTCACCCCATTCACTTCCACCAAAAAGTCGTTATCTTTCAGACCAGCTCTGTCAGCTGGCCCATTGTTTTGCACCTGCAAGGCAAGTTCCAACTGATATTAGCACAAAACTTGAGAAGGTGCATTAGCAACTAGYGGTTATCTGGAATCTTGTGTTCACTGCTTTTGTTACAAGATAGCAAAGTCAACATGGGAGACGGGAGATTCCGTCATTGGACAGGAAGAAATGGATTGGGACGGGCAGACGGATTTGATGTAATTAATATGGAAACTGTGAAATACAGACTTAAGATCCTTCTTGTTGTTGATATGGCTTTCATTTTAGAAACGTGACATACTGGAATCATGAGATCAGTTGGAAAACTAATTTTCTTATTATTTGCTGATCCATGTCTCATAACATGAAGTATACTACATTTCATATGTTTCACAAATTCTTTAGTACTTAGCAAAAAACTTTTTTTTTGGGGGGGGGGGAGGGAGGAGGTGTGCTCATTTTTTCTCTCTCAATTAATCTTTTACCTGGTCCTACAATATAATTGTTAAAGCCAGATTGACTATTCTGTTTTTGCTTTAAGTGCCTGATAACGAGGAGGCTGTCCAAGCTTTCCCTTGTTTCTTGTTCTGTGTTATTACCTCACTGATGAAGAGTCCAGGTTTGTTCTTAATCAGATTTAAACTGAAGCCAAATCCATTAGGCCCTTTCACCATCGTGCAGGTTCTTGGCTTGTCCACTTTTTGCTCAGTGTGCAATTCYACTTTTTCCTCTGTTTTAGCTGGAGATGGATCTTGTACTTTGTGGTAGTATGAAGAAGGGGAAATTTGAGCCTGAAAAGAAAACAATAAAAAGGAAAAGCTTGTCTACATATATATATATCTGTATAAATATATTAACTTATGAAATCTGTTTTAGACTTCCATGTTAAACATGTTTTGTTTGAAGTCTTATGACTTGGAATAATGCTGCAATGAGGAAGCCTTAATATTGGCCAGAAATTAAAAGGCAAAAAKTTTGGTGTTGATCTGTGTAAGACAGGAGTTTCGTTGTGCATTTCATTTGTAAGTAGTTACGTAGTTCTTGTTTTGCTGCCTTAAACTTATATTTAGTGTGTTCAAATTTAGAATTGTTTCAGTACTGTGTATGAAAACTGGGAACAGGCCAAAAACTTGGGATRTTTAGTGACATGCGGTAGAAATGCAAGGAGAGTTGCTGAAATATGGACATATTTCAGACGTTTCCTGCAAGTTGAAGAAATCCCTCTCAGAGCAGAGTGGCCATTTTATTGATACTTATATGTCAATGATTAATTATCAGTTCTTATCAGTAGCCTACATTTTCTTACCAGTTTATACATGGTGTCAGTCTCCTTGTCCACTACCAGGAGTGTTATTTTCTCCTGTGACTGCTTAATCTTTTCCACTACTTGTCCATGGTCCAGAGCCTCCACTCGTTCACCGTTGACAGCCACTAAGATATCGTTGTCTTTGAGACCTGCTTTGGCTGCTGGGCCCCCAGAATCAACATCCTTGATGACATGATCTAAGGTCAGAAGGAGGGGAGGAAAAAGTAATTTTTGAGTATGTAYGGTTGGGAAGTTTTAAGTGTTCCTGATGATAAAGGCTAACTTTCCAAGCTGCACCACTTCGAGACCGTTTTCCCTGATGTAGTCTTGGCTTGCAACAGGGCTATGAATAATTTCTCAGAGATTAGCAGGAAGAAGCCAGGCATGGAGAATAAGGTCTGCAAAACCTGTGCAGGAAGAAATTGTACAGCAGCTGCTGTTGGCTTTGTTCTTACCACCAGTATTTTGTTCCATTCGTAGATAGAAGCCATATCCATTTGTTCCTTTCTGGAGCTCGATGAGTCTAGGCTTGAGGGGAAGCAATTTCAGGCTGGCACTCTCTTTGCTTAGTACCATCTTTTGACTTTTGTAATACTGGTCGGTTTCTTCATCGGTAAGTAGAAACATAACATGATTTCCAGACTTCTTTACCTGCATTAGTACATTTACAGTCTCAGATATGTGGTCCCTTCAAGTGGAATCGTAGATGATTTCAGTAACGAGTGCACTGATATACAACTGTGTARGTGCTGTTGATAAATGAGCCACAAGGTCGAGGCCAGACTACTAAAGAACTGATTTCAGTCAGGAACTTGGAGCATGCCTAGATCTTGGGCACATCCCCATATGATTGAAGGAATTTCCTGTACTACTTRCTGTTTTCTGGTCTCTAGAGAGGCACAGTTATCACTCACGAAGGTGTCATGCAGTGCCAGTAAAATCAAGTGAGTAATCAGTAAGTAGTGCTTGGCTCTGCCCTAGGTTTAGAGCTCCACAAAATAAACATGACATCCGTATTGTCCTTCTGAGTAACAGTAACAACTATCAAATGGATAACTTGGCACTGCAGTACCACAGCAGCACGAGCTTCTTGTCACTCTTAGCTGATTCCTTTTTTTTTTTTCTGCAGTCTCTTTAGTGTCTGCTTCTAAGCTTCAAGCCTAATGCTCACCTTATCTGCTATCACTCTGCAGCCAATGTTGCAGCAGCCCAACAAAACACAGATGTTGCCCAGTTCTGTAGTTATTAGCATATATTGACTAGTGTTGCTCTGGTGCTGGAGTGTCTACTGCTGCTCTCAGGATACTTTGAAATCTTTTCAACCCTAGCTGCATTYTAACAGTGCCAGTAGTGGGGAAAGCTGAAGCCTCACTAGCAATGCTCTTTGAAGCTGAGGCCAGGTAGTGAAGTTACTTACATAATTTTCATTAATCTTGCATTTCTTAGCCAGAAGAAGAGACTACTGCTTGGAAACATTAATCTTCCTTGTTCCAAGCCAACTGCATCAACTGGAAAGTCCCCCTTCTTCCTGCACTGAAAGCCGCATTTGATGACTTTCCTTCTTTCCATTAAGAATATATCTAGAGGACCTCTAGGAACAGCATGTGATTTATTTAAYAGGATTCCTGACAACAGTGTAGTTGTAGTATTTAACTTATGGCCTGTCTTGAAGGCAGTATTCTTTCAGCGACAGTTCAAGAGGCTGCATGACAAAAGAGCAATAGTAGCAGGGTACTGTGCAGAATTGATGATACACAGAGACTTTGGAGAAACTTAAGTATTCAAACCAGCCAGACCTGGCCTATCAGTAGCCCTAGTAGTTTTCCCATGTGTGCCTGTGTGTGAGAAGGTGGGCCAGARCAGAAGGGGGACTTGGTGTACAAATACCTTTTCCACCACTTCTTCATGTTTGTTGTTTTCCACGTTTTTTCCATTTATTTCAATCAGGCGGTCATTGTTTTTAACACCAGCCTTTGCAGCTGCTCCTTGAGATGATATCTCTACGATGTACAAGCCCTTCTGTCCTGAAAAAGATGGGAAAACTCATTGTACAGGGTAAGTCAATGCGATACACCTAGATTTTGATGGCTAAGGAAATTCAGTCCTTCAGGGTCCTTAGAGACTCTGGATCTCTGTCTATGCTCAGAATACAGTGACACCACAAACCTTCTGCATAGACACACACCTGTGTGCCTTATCCTGTCCTGGAAAAATCACCCCTATTGGGGGAAAAGGCATTTTTCCCAGTATCTGCAGCTGAAATGATCGTTTGTTTCTCTCCTGAGAGTGCTTAAGGGATATGTTAACACAGCTGACAAGGATTGGGGGGGATGGGAAGAGGAGCATTTTGAAGTGGGGAAACTCCTTTTGCTGCTCCTTTCATGTGTTTCAGAATTTCCTGTGTTTGGCAGGCTTCCAGAATTGCTCTTAAAAACTGTATTCAACTCTGAAATACCCTCCTTAGCATTGATGATYTCTGGGAGATATCCATATGCATTTGAATAGCAGTAGAGGAAAGAAATGTGTGGAAGGAGTTAAAGATTTCTTGCTTTCTAAATGAAATAATCAGCAAATCAAAAAAATACTTGTTTTTCCCTGTTTTTTCAGCTGTCTTTACAAACTTGTGTGCTGTTTCCCAAAGTATTATGGATGCAGCAGTTGGAGTATATATGTGGTATGCAAGAAGTGGAGCTGCAGAAGTGTTCTTAAACAACAAGCAGAAAATAACAAGGTTTTTATCCAGTTTTCTGCATTTATTTTCTCCACCAAATAAGAAAYATGGCCCTCAGAAAACTGGAGCTGCTCCATGGAAATGGGTACTTGAGGGCTGAACCCATCTTGCCTCCTTCCACTTCCCTGCTGTTAGCAAGGGCACTCTGTTAACTGTGTTGTCTCTGTCCCTGCTGTTGTATCTTTACCGTATTCCGTCCTGCCCAAACTCTCACCTTCGGTGGTTTTCAAGGAGAACCCATAGCCACTGCTTTCCTTCACCAGGTAGCAGAGTCGGGGTTGTGGGGCTGCAGCGACGTCTCCGTTGGCCTTGAGCGGTGGGGACTGCTGCTCCTGCAGCCGTTCTGTTGACACCTTTTGACCCAACTCTTCCAAGTTCACGCCCTCCTTTCTTGCCTTTTGGTAGGAGGCTTCATCCAGAACAAAGAATACAACAGAATTCCCACTCTTCTTGATTATCTCCACCACCTGTAGTGGACAGGATCAAACAGCAARCAGGTCCTGGAGTGATTGACCCGGAAACCCCCACCCCTGAAGGGGTTGCAAGATCATCTTGGGCACTGCCAGCCCTTGTTGGTATCTCATCCCTCTACTTGGGCACTTCTAAGGTGCATCAAAGACATTTCATACCTGTGGTGGATAATGCAGGATGCAGGGAGATAACAAGAGCAGTTAACTCACATTTTGGATTTCTTAGCTATCACTGGCATTAAAAAATGGAAAATAAAACTAGTGGGCCATGAGGGACTGGCGTGGATCCCAAATTAAACTGAGATGTACCTGTGCATGTTCCTCCTTGTCTACAAACACACCATTAACCCTGAGGACTCTGTCTCCATCCTTCAAGCCAGCCTTTTCAGCTGGACTGTCCTTCTCCACRTTTCGGATGAGGTGCCCTGCCGTGTCTTTTTCGATACGCAGGTAGAATCCATAGCTCTTTTCAGGTTTCTTGGTCACTTTACATTCTCGAGGCTGGAGAAGAGAAGTCATCTCTACAAAGCGGGGTGGAAAAAAAAATAATTGTGAACAAAAAGAGTGAACTGCCCTAAATAAGACTTCTCTAAATACATATTGAGATGGTTTACTTTGAAATTCTTGGGATTTTATTACACAGAAAATCTGGGTTTGTAATTTTGAAGCTAGTTAATTAGATTAAGGTAAAGAATATACTTGTCTCTTTCTTGGCATCCTGTTTCAAAGGCAGTTGGTGTCTTGGCAAGATACAGAACTGGAGGAGGAAGTTGTCTGCTTATGGTAAGATGGTGAAAACTGAGGTGAGGTTCTAAAACCAGAATCAAGCAATGTAGGAAAAAAACAATGRCAGCACAAGAAATGTTGGAGCACTGTAAGAAGGCCCTGTGACAAAACTAGATTTACAGAAGAGGAGGTGAGAACAAGGAAGGACCTCACTGTCCTAACCAGGTTTTCSTGTTCTTGGTTATTTTAGTGAAACAAAAGTAAGTTTCAGGAACAGACATTGACAGACATTGTGCCTGGAGTATTGTTATTAGTGAGTGGCAGATTTGCATTGCAGAGAGACTTTAAAGCAACTAGGAGAGCCCATATCTCCACTTAAGCTGTTTGTTTATTTATTTATTTATTTTTAACTTATCTGGGTTTGATACTACCACATCTCAATTCTTACAGAAAATTAAATGCTTGCTTCATTTTCCAGTCCTACAGTCCTTTAGAAGTTAGTCACTGATAAGTTGAAGCTGTCCATGTTTTCCTCTGCCTCAGAATCATAGTTAAACACCTTCTGAATCTGGTCTAGGGAGGAACTAACAGAGGCAGCAGGTGTTGCACTCAGGTATACTATATACATGGCTTGAGAAAGATATAAATGCAGGTATTAGGAGGTATACAGAGTCTGGAACATTCAGGCTTGAAGGAGGGATAACTTAACCGATCCTGTTAGTTATACATGAAATGAAACTTTTAATGCCTTTAAGACTGTACTCATACGGTCCTTGTAGCCAATTTGGCTAGATGTGGACTGGATGAGTGCATTTTAGATGAGTGCAAAATGCTGGACCACCAAGCTTAGGGGATTTTTGATCAGTAGTGAATCTGAGGAGAGATTGGGAGCTGAATTTATTCAGTCTTGAGAATAGACAGTTAAGAGAAGGTCTTATAGTTGACTTCAAATAMTTAACTGCAGTGAATGGAGCAGAYAGAGCTAGACTCTTCTCAGAAATTCACACTGATAAGGCGAGAGGCAACAGACACAGTCTGCAGCAAGGGAAATTCCAATTAGATGTAGGGATGGCTTCTCGTCCTGGTACCTGTCGGATATTGGAACAGGTATCTAGAAAGGCTGTGGCATCTCCAACCCTGGGAGGCTTACCTGGATGATGCCCTGAGCAGCTGGATCTGGGATGGTCCCATTTTGCATGAGGCATTGGACCAGATGGTTTCCAGAGGTCCCTTACCACCTAAGCTATTCTATGCTTTTGTGATCTAATGGAACTCTGTTTTGGGTGGTACACATCAATAGGGAGAATATCGTATCGTGTGCTGAAAGTAAGCAGTAGCTGTGATCAGGGAACAAGTCCAAAGTTAGCTGTCTCAGCAATTCCTGCCAAAAGCTCATGGTGATAAACAAGGTGAAGGAGGACAACCTTCTTGCGTTGGCAGTCCCAGGTAATTAGTAAACTTGGTGATCTTTGTGTCATTGGATAGATTTCCTTCTGTTTCTCTCTACCAACTGGAGTCTGTCAAAAGGCCAAAGTTGTGTAGCAGAAAATTAGCCGCTAAACACAGCCTATAAATATTAATAACATTCATCTGCATGCACATAAAACTGTCCTCACAGCTCTGTGGTTTTGCTTTTCTTTCTATCACTTATGTCACTAACATATGMTGGGTGTCTCTTTTTTGAGTTTCTGACACTCAATTTCCTATATGAACTTGATAACAGCTTCCTGCAGAACCACCTCTTTGGCTATCCATGGTACAGACTGGTCATTGTTGGGATTATCCAGATAACATACAGAAAAGTCTGCATGCAGGGTGGGGGTTTGGCATGGATGCCACTGAAGTGAGAAGAGAATACAGGGAATTTCAGCATGCAGAAATAGGAAGCCTACAGGTCATGATTCACTCGCTCTCCTTAGTCAGATTCTTCTGTGTGCTTTTTTTTTTTTTTTTTTTTCCTTTTTTAGGCTGTATGTGTGTCCCCATGTGTTTTCATTAGGACAAACACGGTATAGAGATGGGGTGCCCAATTATTTGGTCCTTGCTTGATTGATAACTGCTTGAACTGCTTCCTTACTTGATAACTGCAGATTATTGATTACAATTGCAGCTCAAAGCARATTTTCCTGGCAAGTATTAGAAATCTGTGTTTACCTGGAAAAAATAGCGTATTTCAGGCCAAGAAACACCAGGCTTTTAAGGGAAAGATTACTTCTTCCTATTTAGAAAGTGGAAGAAGCTTACAGAGGGTTGCTTTCTCCTTTCACTCGGTGAAAGCTTGATGTGCAAAATTATCAGGATAATGAAAAGGAGGAGTTTTCTAGGGGAAGAGGGATTAAGGAAAAAACAGAGGAATTTCCTACCTGTGTGTCCGTGTGGAGCAACCTTCACAGGGATTCCCTTTTGCTGTCTCTCTTGTGGCAGTACCTATAGGTAGGGCTGGACTTTGATTGGGCAAAGGTTGATTTAAAAGATGATTTATTTAACCAAGTTTCACTGAATATGTTCATCTTCTTGATAAGCTGCTTGTGCTTGCCTGGAGAGGTACAAATCACATGTCTTTCTCAGGAGCTTTGAATTCTGCTTTGCTGATGATTATACACAAAAGCAATCAAGGAGCTCATCTGAGCCAGGCCTGATCTTTGATCTGGGCAAGAATCTTCTCCAGCCAGAAGAAACTACTTAAACGGAGCTGGTCCAGAGTGTATCTTGCTTACTTGTCATAAGTATTTGCAAGATATGTTGACAAACTGAACAGAAATGATGATGTCTCTGATGTAGGCAAGTCTCCAAAAGAGAGATCTTTGTATACCAATATGCACGGTGATTTAACAGTGTGGAGGTCCTTCTTCCAAAGTTTCATTCAACTTCAGAAAACTTTAGAGGGTCTGATTGCCCTCATTAACTTGCTGTAAAATTGGATTAGTAGAAATAACATCCATGTTTGCAAAGACTGTGTGCTCTACCCATTTAGCTCAAATGAAAGTAGTAGAAATATGTGCAATCTAAATATTGTTTTGCTACAGAACAGTTATTGCTGTTGTAAATGCCTTAGTGTAATCTACTTATGCCTAACTGGATTTGCAAGCCTATTATGACTAGGAATTGTTGCTCTTTGTGTAACATTCAATCTAGGAGTGCAGGAAAGTGAGGTCCAGTGCTGTAAGCATGAAACATATGTAGTCAGACCCTGCCTAAGGTGACTTGTAGTCCTTCAGACAAGTGAGACAAAGATTGATTGACACAGAGAAGAGAAATCAGCGTGGCCTACAGTTTTRCAGCTGGACACGTGGGCACAATGAGGTTTGGAAAATATACACACATATATATATGYGTGTGTGTATATGTACAGTACATATTTTTATACAATTGCACTGGATGAGAGGAGATGAAAATATGGCTATTATCTGATAGTCAAAGATCTGTGAAGTAGTTCTTTGAAGTATATAATACAAAGTTAAAACTATAAATCTTTTTTGAATAAAATATACTTTTGTTTTTACCAAAGTTTTACAAGTTTTTACATCTAAACTTAAATTTTCATGAATACAGTTCACCTGTTCGAATMTGAAAATAAAGTGGTTTGTAAAATGATAAGCATCGCTGTCAGCATTGTCCTGTTGAGAAAAGCTTTATGTGCATGCTTTACTGGAGAAATATTCCTTCTCCTTATAATTGTGAATATACTGATCACAGTTCAACTCTCCTGCCTGGAAGCATGGATTTGGATGACCTTTAAAGTCCATGTAAGGAGACATTTTCTAAATAAAGTGTGCTTGCCTGCCTCGATTACTGCATATTCATTGACCATCAGGTCACTTTTCTCTTTGCAATGCTGTCCTTTTCTTGGATTCCTGACACAAATTAATGGCAATTAATTTTCAAAAGCAGCCTATTGGGAGAGTGGTAGCTCTTACTAATGTCCTCCGCTGACTCCTGCTGGGACAATGTGAAAAGTTGTCCCCATCTCCCTGCAGAAAATAATGCCCTTGTAGATGAGAGTGACAGAATGGTGATATGCCTGGTCCAAGCCACCACAACTAAGTGTATTAACAGGAGGCACCATCAGTTTCAATTTCTGTTAATATGCGTGTCTGCAAGCTGTGACGTCTGAAGGCTCTGGTTCATAACCTCTGTCGGGTAGAGACATGGTGACTGGAGAAGTTGCTGTCCTCATCTGAGATGGCAGTGGMCTCTTCAGCTCCTCCAGCTAAATCTGATAGGATTGGTGAATCAGAGCCTTAGACTGTTCTAAAGATTCCTTCAGTATAGTAGTATGAAGATGTCTTGTATTTTTCCTGTATCCAAGTTGTTAAAAACTGGTATAGACTTTTYACTTTGCCCTTTATTCTGCCAGTAATGCTTTCCCATTTTGGCAACTATTGGGTAAAAGTGTATGTGCTTTGATGGTAGGAATAGTTGGCTCACTGAGATCCTGCTTAATTGCGAGGCAAAGTTCACTTGATCTACCAAATGAATATTCATTAGTCAGCCAGTACTTAGCCAAGCAGTAATTAAATCTTTCTCTTTCTGATGAACAGATGCTCCTCRTATGGTAAAAAATCAGGGAAATAAGAGAACAGAACTGTTACTACCAATCCAGGGAGGAGAAGGAGAGAATATTCCTCCTTTTAGTTCTTCGGACTTTTGTTGTTCTATATGGTGTTCTTTGCCTAATTGGCCAGTGTTTATGGCAAAGAAAAATACTCTGCTATCCAGGGAAACTTTTATGGTTAAGGGAAAGCACCCTCTTCTTTTTGGTGGACCTGTTGGTAGAGAATTAGAGTGGTAGTCCTCTTCCTTCAGTCTTCKCTTTTTGTTTTAAATATGAATTGTCTTCTCTAATTTCCTTTCCACTTGAGAATA